TGTTTTTCTTTCGATGACGTTGAACGAACTAGCTGGGGGAACAAATATGATGTAACACCAGGAAGTTGAGGTAGAAGCTGACACTTGGGGACTTGACTCTGGAGAAGCAGTCAAACTAGTAGTTGTTATTTTTAGGTTTAACTTAGTTGTTTAGATTTATTTATTGCTTGTCTTAAGTTTTATCCCTCCACTCTTTGTTGTTTGTAGGCTAGCCTATGTGTTTAAATACCCCTGTGTTAATTGTGAGGCGTCAGTTCTGGTTTGTTATCCTTGGTTAGATTTGTCTTAGTCAATATCTTCTTTTGGGCCAATTTTTTTCTGAATTTTGTTTGTACTGTACTGTGGAAAATAAATGGATGATTTTTTTTTTTCTAACTTTTGTGCTTTGCCTGACTGCTGCTTGGTAGCTGACAGAAACAATGTTGTGTTTAGGATTCATAGCGTAACTTTTAATAAAATTAGAGTAGAATTTTGTAGTGTGGCCATTTGTGGTATAAACTTTTTTCCTGTGGCTCGAAGACCAACAAAGTAGAATTTTTGTTTTTCTTTTACTTGTCAGGCTCGGGTCACAACTGCTCCCTCTCTCAAGAACATCTCAAGTCTCCACTAGGTGCGGAGCCCATTGCCCCTGTCCTGCCCTTTCTCTGCTGGCTGGCGCCTGGGCTCGCCGGTGCACCGGTGGTGCTCGGTGTTTGTGGGTAGATGCCTGGGCAGGTGCTGGTTTGTTCCTGGTGGCTGCTGTCTGGGGCCTGACCACCCGGGGCCCGGTCGGGGCTCCTTCGACGGGGCTCCTGCCACGGTGCTGGTGCCCCCGGGACCTCGGTTCCCCGGCGTCCATGGCCGGTTCCACTTTGGGGTAGCTGGCTTCCAGCGGAGTCCGCGGGCTCGTCCCTGCGGCTCCTGGGGCCTCCGACATTCCTGCAGCTGGGGGATCTCCTCGGATCTCTCCTCTTCCCTTGATGGGGGGTCGAATTTCCTGGGTTGACCCCTCCTGTGCGCCTTTGCTCTGGGGATCCCCTGGGGTTTTTGGTCCCCCGGCGCTTTCCTCGGCTCTCTTGGGGGGCGGGTCTTTGGCTCTTCAAAACCACTATTGAGCACTTGGCTTTGGATAAACTTTACATGCACAAGTGCACTCTCACAATCAACTACAGGTGCTTGGCTCCAGGTACTTAAAGATTCACTCCATACAGAAAGCCCATATTCTTATCTTCAGATACGGCTATATACATGTCAGATTAAATAATATCACTTATACTTTAGCGATAGTATCAAGGTGCCACTTTGTGTCTCTTATTCTATATCCATTGGTTGTGTTGTTCTTTTTACATCTCTTTGCAGGTGATGAAGCAGAGTGTAGACCTTTTATCGTTATCTCACTTTTATCTCCTATTTCTTTCATATTTTCTCCTTTTTTCCAGTTTTTCCTTACCTGTTCTGCTTACATTACATTGCAGTGTCCAGATAAAATGTAATACTCCCTGCAAAATCATAATAAAGATATTTATATGCGTAAATGAAACGGAACTCTATGGCGATAGCTGTACTGTTCCACTTGTGAAAGCAAAATCTGTTGGGCCCTTTTTCGGCATCGAGACAATTATTGTTATTACCACATCGCCAGACAGGACACTGTTTAAAAAAAAAAGAAATCAGGAAAACATCAACTTTCTATACATATGTTGTGATCAAATGTCAGCGATCTGGCAAGAACTGTTCTGTTCTGAAGGCACTCCCCTCCAGCGGAGTTTTCAAAAAAAATTATTTCCCTTCAACTTCCTGTTGCCGGTGACCCCTTGGCCATGTAAGGCTTGTCTGGAGAACTTCTCAACTGAAAGCTATGCTAAGTAGGGACCAAATCCTTCTGGAGAGGCCTGTGCTCGCTGGACCAAGTCAGACCACATTTCCTATGATTCAGAAAGAGCAAATTGTAGTGGCAGTTTTTGTTCCCTCCAATTCAAACCGAGTTGAACAAAGTTTTTCCTGAAACCGCCTGCTGCAGCACAGAGAGAGTTAATCCAGCTCTGGTAACCTAAATCAAACCTCCAAAGGAGCAACTGCGTGGCCCAAATGCTGTTTGACGGGGAGATGTTAGAACCGAAAAAAGGCAAAGGCCTTACACTCCACCAAGCCCAAACAGTAACATCCATCCTTTCCCTTATCTGTCTGATGCCTAAGAAGTGCTCTGCTTGCACTAGGTAGAGTAGACAGTTGTGTTTGTGTTTTATTTGAAAATAGCTTTCTGATTCAATTGCTGAGGGTTTTAAGGGCTTCAGCTGCCTCACACTGGCCACATTGTAGAGGCTGCTTTGGAGCTCGTACAGTACATTTCCTTTTTTTCAGCTGGAACCACCCAAACCAGACCACCTGGGGCCAGCTTAGCTATCCCATTCTCTTTCTTTTCAAGGGTAAAACGTATTAGTTTTACACTTTATTTGAATGACCTATTAATTAAATATAACTTCCAGTTCTAGTTTTTTTATATATTCATAATCTGGTAATCTTGTACAACACATACAAAGTTATTTAACATTATCTTTAAGGTTTGGACAGAAAGTGTGAAATCCTTCTCCATAGTGAGATGATGAATTGAGATTTGTAGGGCATTAGAGTAAAGCACATACATAGCTAATTTTAATTATGTGGTTATATTGATCCTGTGATTCATCTTCCATCTGCACTTAGAAAAATAAGTATTTTAACACCCTGCTATTTTGCAAGTTCTCCCCCTCTCTGAAATTAGGTGCATGTCAACTGTGAGATACATAATCTAAAAAGAGAAATAAAATCCAAAATTCACAATGTATGATTTTTTTAACTATTTATTTGTATGATGCAGCTGAAAATAGATATTTGAACACCTGGTAAAAATCTCTGTTAATAGTTGTCCAGTAGCCTTTGTTTGCAATTCCAGAGGACATATGTTTCCTTTAGTTTTTCACCAGTTTTGTACACACTGTATGAGGGATTTTGGCCCACTCCTCCACACAGATCTTCTCAAGATCAGTCAGGTGTCTGTGCCATCACTCAGAAACACAGAGTTTGAGCTCCCTCCAAAGATTCTCTATTGGGTTTAGGTTTGGAGACTAGGCCACACTGGCTATGCCATACCAGTAATAAAAATAAACATTGTGACATTGTGTCAGATATGCTATTGTAGGGGCATTGAAAGTTGATGCAAACCACATAAAACATTTTATGGACAAAGATTTATCTTATAGTATCATATAAATCTAGACGCATCATGCCAGCAGTACAACAGGTCTACCAACCCTTTGGATCATCCAGCTTGTAATATATATTTTCGGTACAAAGCGCCTTAATGCAGGTGAAGATTCTTATTCATTCAGATCATCATCATTCCAAAAAAGTAAAAAAAAACACTGGACTTTGTTTTTCCCAAAATGGAGTGCAAAGTCTGGTGGTTTATTTTTTAAGTTTCTTGGAATAAGCGCCATAACGTTTTCCATATGAACCAGAGGTCCAAATAACTTCCCAACTATTTATCAGCTTTAAGTAAACATGAAAGACAAAGCCTATATATTTTCTTAAAATATTTAACTTCTTACTTTCTCTTTTTTAATTGCTCTTCATTTTATCTACAGTAGCGTATTAATCAGAGACTGTTTTTGCTCTTTATTTTTCTTTTAGTTTATTTATTTTTAGGGTCCCTGACTTAAATGTTTAGCATGCTATAGCTCAAACGCACCGTATCAAATATTTAAACGAAACAGAAACATACATGGATGCATTTTGTTAATGTACTCACGAAGAAGAAGATAAGAGATTAGAAGATTAGAGACTTAATTGTGATGAATGCACTGATACTTAGCAACTTGTATGGTCCATTGGATTTCTTTCCATTTCCATTTCCATTTCAAACTTAACTATGCAGAGGTCAGGAATTTCTACTGAAAACCAGCAGTTGGTCCTCAGCAGGTAGATAAGATCCTATCTCAGATCCGGCATCAGCTATATCCGCGTTCTTTACTGAAATGTTGCAACAATACAAGAACAATGAAAAACTAATGTTTATCTGCTATTCCCAAGATAAATATCTTATTGATGTTCACTGATTCACTGATACTGTCCTTTGTGTGAAGACATCAGGGTTTTTCCTAACCAGAGGCCAAGGGTGGACAGCTAAAGAAGCTGCTGCTAAAAGCTTAGGATGCAGCATGTAGATCAGGTAACTGTGGCCTACAGCAGGGCCTGAAGTGAGTGAAAAAAGGGCTTCCAGCTGGTGCTGAACTGCTGGTCAACTGACATCTGAATAACAACCAACCCCTGCATTGTGTGGAGAGGAATCGGGAACATCAACATAAGCAGTGCAGGCAGTTTATATCAGTTTTGATCAGTTTCAGTGATAAATGGATACATGTGTTAACTGTATTGAAAAAAAAAACGAAAGAAAAATCTAAGGATTAAGTTCAGCTGGCTTTACCTCGATATGCATGTTACAGTTACTAAAGCATTTAAACAGGAACTTATATGAGCTGAAAGTATGTATTAAATATTACTTTTAAAATAAGTTTGTGGAGATGTTTACAAAATCTAATTTCATTAAGAGAATTTTTATAATTTCAGGAGACAACAATGACCTTTCATAAAACTTTTCACAAATCTAAACCAGGATACTTCCCTATAATGTGTTCTTAGCCTCAGCAAAAAAAAAAAAAAAAATGTTTCCTCCCTATCTCTATTTTTACAATATTCTAACAAGTAAAATTTCAAATGTAACTGTATTTTATTTTATTTACCTCTGTTTAGGTAATGGAGTGCAAAGGCTTAAACCCCAAAGATAAGCAAATAAAACTTCATACATAGTTTATTTTATATTTAACATTTGTTGTTTTCAAATTGAGATGTTTAGAGGTAGGTTATTGGAAGGTTATATTAACCCAGGGGGGCGGAGCCTCCAAGAACATAGTGGATAAATGCTTCTTGAACTCACCAACACTCAGACTTTTGATTTCTCCCTGTTAAGTTTGAGCGATTTTAAAATGGGTGACGGCTACATCATTGCCATAGACTTTGGCACTGCATACAGTGGCTATGCTTATAGCGTGACCCCCAAAGAAAAAGAAATCGAGCCCATTCTGAAAAAATGGGGTCAAGAAGAAGGACTGGACACTCCGAAAACTCCAACCAGCATCCTGTTTGATGAACATGGTGAATTTATGAAGTTTGGTTATGAAGCCAAAGCAGCATATATCAATGTGCATGGAGAAGAAGCAAAGAAGCAGTACTTCTTTGAAAACTTCAAGATGGCCCTCTATGGAAGAGTAAGTATGAACAGTATGTCTGTATTTTTAAAGTTTATCTATGTTCTTAGTATGTGGTGCAGATTAAAGCCAGTTTGCAGGGCAGAGTTTCTTCTTTTGTCTGCACAGGCTTAGAATTTAATGATCAGATTGGAACATATTTCCCAAACTAGACAGAATCCTAAATATATTTTATGTGAAGCTGTTGGGAACAAGTTGTATCTGTGACGTTAATATGGACATGTTATCAAATATCTCTAGGAACTGACCAGGGATGTGACCATTAAAGCAGCCAACGGAAAGGAAATGACAGCACTGAAGGTTTTCACAGAATCCCTGAGATTCCTGAAGGAAGACGCTCTGAGTACCATCGGCAGTAACACAGGGGTTAAGTTCCTGGCCTCTGATTTCACCTGGGTGCTCACTGTTCCTGCCATCTGGGATCCTTCAGCCAAGCAATTCATGAGAGAAGCTGCAACTGAGGTGACATCCTGTTTTATAAAAAGCTATTAAAATTAATTATCAGTAGTTGTGATTCATTTAATTCCTCTTCCAGGCAGGTATTGTGACAGAAGGAAGAGAGCACAAACTGGTGATTGCTCTGGAACCAGAAGCAGCCTCAGTTTGGTGTAAGAAGCTTCCCTTTGATGGTTTTATCACACAGAACCACAACAGAAGCTCACTGGATCAGACTCCAGGGACCCAGTACATTGTTGTTGACTGTGGAGGTACGGTTTGTAAATCTATTCAGAATACTCTCATCTTACAGGGTTCAAACCCCTAATAACCAAATGAGTAATCTTACTATATCAACATTTTATAAATCATTTTAAGGAGAGGTTTATTGACCTTTTTGGGTTAACAGAATAATAAAAACTTTCTGTATGTTTTTGTTTCAGGAGGAACCATCGACATCACTGTTCATGAAGTTCTAGGAGGAGGAGCTCTGAAGGAGCTACACAAGGCTTCTGGAAATGATCTGGGAGGACAAAATGTGGACAGAAAGTTCAAAGAGTTTCTCAGAGAAATATTCAGTGATGGAGTCTGGGATGAATATGAAGAAAATTATCCCAGTGAGGTTCAGAAAATGATGTATGATTTTACCCGTCTAAAACAGGTAGATGAAGACGTTCAGATCACCTGCCAGTTTAATCTGGGAACACTGGCTCAGAAAAAGAAAGCTGTAGAAGAGTTCTTTGAGGGTGTGGAAGGAGTGTCCTGGGATGATGGATCTATCAGAATCTCCAGAGACAAACTGAGGTCTTTGTTTGAGGAGAGTCTGCAGGGTATCGCAGAGAGTCTCAGAGAAATCCTGAAGCAAGATTTTAGCATTGAGTTCATTCTGTTGGTGGGGGGCTACGCTCAGAGCCAAATCCTACGTCAGCACATCACTGATCAGTTTGGTGACCAGTGCAAAGTTCTGTGTCCTCTCAGGGCTCAAGAGGCCATTGTGAATGGGGCGGTGCAGTTTGGAAAAAATCCAGAGGTGTTAGCTTCTAGGAAAAGTGCCTTCACATACGGCATATCTGTGTGTTGCACCTTTAATGCGAAAAAACACAAAGCAGAGAAGAAATTCACAGAAGAGGGGTCTGACTATTGTCAGGATATTTTCAGTGTACTGGTGACTGAAGGAGAAGATGTGAATTGGAATGAAACCAGAGAGTGCTTCTTTAGTCCAATACGATCAGACCAGGAAAGAATGAGCATGAGATTTTATCAAACAGAAAGAAGAGATGTAATGTATACAGATGACTGGGGAGTGGAGGAAGCTGGTTCATTCATTGTTGACATGCCTGATACCACTGGTGGCAAGAATCGTACAGTCAGGCTGGATATCAGCTTTGGAGCCTCTGAGATAACAGCCACAGCGACAGATATAAATTCTGAGGCTAAAGGGTCCATTAAGATGGAGTTTATGACCAAAGAAATTAGCAGAATTGGTAAAGTTTCACGTGCCCCAGCTGTTGTTGCAATGGAATAAAAAACAACCAGATTGGGCTCTCCCTGAAAAGAAATTCCTAACTTTAATTTCTTAGTTAGTTTGATGAAATATTAGTTTAATTTGCAATTTTTCTGAGGTTTTGATTTATTAATGAATTAAACACAAATGTATGATTTAACGCTATATTTTAGAAATGCAACAATTTCCTATTTGATTTTAATCCACTACTAAATATCTTTGTTATGGCTTTTGGTTTTATAAATAATCATCTTAAATCTGTGTATTCCACAATGAAATAGGAAATAAAATACATTTAATTGATCCTAAAATAGATTTTTGGGTATCTGAAAGATTTACTGTCGCTGTTTCTACAAAACTACGTGATTATTTTTCCCGGATTTTCTTTTTAACAAATAAAAGATGTTGGATGAATACATATAAATAAAGATGTTGGAATTATATCACATTATGTGTTGCAGTTGTGCTCATTTACAACTCAAGCAGTTTAGAGCAGGCAATGAGAAGGATGAAGACAGGAAGATATAACATTCCCCTTAGTAAACTCAGCCTAAGGCTGTTTGATCAGTGTTATTGTTCTGCTCATAATAAAGAAATGTTCTGTGAGCAGCAAATTTACTACAGTAACAGTAGCTGTACTCGTTACAGCTAATGGAGACTTAAAAAAAAATATTTATTTTTCAGTCAGAATCTATTATAATTAATTTCAAATTATTTAATTATTTCAACCCAGTCAGTTAGCCTCTATTACATGCTTTACACTAGGGATGGAAGAATTTCTACTCCTATAAACACATACTTACACTTTTTAATATTTCAACTCAAAACTAAATTAGTATACCGTGATTAGTCACCAAACAGAACCAATACAGTAGATATCATATTAGTCAAAAGAATCATAAGTCAGTTTATTATGAATACATTATACGTTACATTGAGTTTCACTCTGATGTTCCCCAAAGTTTGAACTAATCTTGAGTTAATGGTTAATTAGAGGTTTTGTCATTTCGAACGGCTAATGAATTCTAGACTAGCAGAAAAAGATCATTTACTTTATAAAGCATTGTTTGACGTATTTGCTCAGTCTAAAATAAGCCATTCTAATACATCTTCAAGGTTGTGACTATTAAATACCTGTCATCATCTGCTGCTCTGGGTTTTGGGTTCTGTTCAAGTTTTCACTTTGGCTTTGATTTATGTTATTTTTTGTTTGATTGTACCATTTATATCATGTTTTACTTACTTCTTAGTTTATAGAATTCCTGTCCATTTGCTAATAAGCTTCTTGCATTCCATTGTAAAATAAACATTAATGTTTAATGATGCTGTTGTTTGTGGTGATCTTCCTGACATTCTAGGTGATTGTCATGCTTTTAACTCTGAAGATCTTTTAAGCTATTTTATTTCGGTATGTGTGGATATTCTTGATTCTGTTGCACCTTTTAGAACAAAGTTCACTAAATCACTTTCTGAACTGTGGCTTGATGACTTCACACGCGCTCTCAGGTGCTTATGCCGGCATGCTGAGAGGAAGTGGAAAAATTATATATATGAGAAGTTCCAATCTGGCGTCAAACCTTTTCATAGCACTGAGACAGCACTGTTGAGAGTTTTTAATGATTTAATGGTGACAGTTTCTGATTCTATAACTGTTAATGCTAATAGCATAAACTTGCCTCATTAATCACAGCTTGGGTTGTTGTTAAAATTTCTTATCTGCGTAATGGTTGTATAGATAGAAATCTGTTGCTCATCAACGTTAAGCATTTAACAATGTTTTATTTTAGCCAGCTTTAGTTCATCTTTAGTTCTAAATATATTTTCTCTACCCTTGTCTACAGGTGGTCTTAGTTATCAATAACATCAATAACAAATATTTTCATTTGAAAATGCCAGTATGAAATGTACTAAAAGAGAAAACAGGTCTGAATATATTTGTTTTCTATCTTAAGTTTGTAAAGTGATTTTATATGCTGCCGGCTGTGGGAAAACAGGTTAAGCCAGTTAACGTCACAGAGAAATGATAAGCAACACCTTTATCGGTTCTTCTTCAAACTCAGACAAAACCCGACAAGAAACACTAGATCTGCTGCTCTTTAACACTTGAGGATTTAAAGGTAAGAAAGCAGAAATTAATCAAACTTCAAACCACTTCTGAGGAATATTAAAGGGAAATTAGAGAAAACAGGGAGGGCTAAATTGAATTTGGAGAAAAATGTGATGTGGTTTATTCTTACCTAAAAACTGACAGTTAAATGATCTTCTGAGAGTTTACATAAAAAGTAAAAACCCGATTAAGATATTTAGATATTTAATGTTTACTTCCTTAAAGGAATTACTGAGAAAATGCTTTGTGCGTGATGGGGTCAGAACTTCAACAAAAATTGTTAAATGCCAAAATTAACAAACATTGTGTCTGGTTCCCTTTTAATTGGTTTTAGATTGATTTCTTAATTTATGTCATTGCGGTAGTGTTTGGATAAAACAGCCTCAGCCAATAATCTGGTCTGGGTTAGGGTTTCTAGTTAAACTCCTGTTCACAGTGGTTTTTTTACCCATAATGTGCTGATATGATGTGAGTAACTACTGACCTCTACTGGAAAATGCTAAAGCAATCCACTAAAATACTTCACAGCCTACAGTTAGTGCTTGGTGTAAGTCATTAGGTGGAATCAGAAGGCACTTTTGAGGACTTCTTTCTGGCATGATCTGGTATCTGGATCTTCCATCCCTAGAACTGTTTTATTATAGAGGGAATCCATAAATATTTATATTCACAATCTATGTCCCAACAGATTTCCAGCAAATATGGCAACATCTAAGGCAGACCAGTCAGGGTAGGTATCTGCATTACGTTTTTTTACTAATGCATATTTGTTGATAAAAAGGTTAATAAAGAGGACTCAATAATTACAATGTCTGAATATAACTTCCACTGGGTTGCCTCCGCTCTGTTTTGTATATTTACATTGCAGACAGCAGTACACTTGAAAATAGCACCAGTTAAACTATTACCAATATACTGTATACATGTTATACATGTTTAGAAAATTTAGATTGTTCACAATTCAACTGCAAGGTTCATTTTATGGAAACCACGAGCACCAACGCATAATTACTAAAGATATAGCAGAATGTTAAATCAGAATTGTTAAATTACACCTGCATACTACCTTTAAAGTCGTAGAGAAGCAGCTGTTCTAACGGTCGCAGTTCCGAAATCTCCCGCATGGTGCCCAACTTTAAACGAGTGAATAAAGTGAATGTGATTGATCAATTATCAAGGGGGCAGGTTTTTTGTGGCAGAAGGATCGCAGGCTTTTTGGTTGTAGCCGGAGTCACAGAAGCATCATGCTAACCAGTTAGTAACTTATTGCTAGTAGGTTCCCAATGGGAAATTCCATTGGGACCAAGTAGCACTAAATTGGTGACTTAGAAACGACACTGTCAAGGAACGCTATGCACAGCGGAAACATGCAAGAGTTTTGTGTCGGAGGTTGTGGATGAGTCTCTTCCGTCATACATTTTTTATTTAGAGGAGGAAAGCGGGGACGAATATGTTGTGGAAGAGGATGCCAGGGCGGCAGAAGCTTGGTTTGGTGTAGAAGGCTTACAGCCGTACATGTTTGAGCCCTTGCCTCGCAACACTGCCAGTTGTGTGAACGCTACGCCTGCCGAAGACACAGACGTCCATCCCGTGAACATTGGGACGTAACACAATGGGGAAGTAAATGATCCTTATTTCTTATTTTAACCGTTGCGTATATATATTAGCCGCAACGTATAAATCAAGAGGCTATGACTGAAAGAAATTAGATTAACAGACAGTTGATGTATGATTCGCCAAATTTAGGTGTACAGGCTGACGTATAACTAACTGGTCTGCATAAATAATTTTCTAACTTTTGGGACATTATCGTCTGATAAAAGTACATTTATATGCATGTTTAAGCCAGAATGGTTTGAAATTTAAATATGACTTCCCTACGACTTTAAAACGATCGTGAGGCCATATTATAAATCCAATCTTATATTGCTTTTATTCCATTTGTCCATAAGGTTTCAAAGATAAAAAGTAATGCAGCATATTAATAATAAAAACATTCCATGATGAGAAAAACTGCCACATAAAGTAAGTTACATCTTTATAGCTAATGCTAACGGTGTTGCTAATTACTCTAGTTTCCATGAACCTTTCCGGTCAACATTGGTTATGTTTGTTTCCCTCACCTTCCACCCAACAAAACAAAAGTGTCCCCACCAATTTCGTTTTGAGATTTGACATCGGGACCCCCCACTGGCTTTGACCTGGATGGCTGAGAATCTCGACCAGCAAACTTGTGAAATTACTTGGCCTCCTTGAACTTCTCTTCTTTTGCCACATTTGAGGCTTCAAACATAAAGACAACACAGTAATTTTTTGAGAAGTATCAACAACAAGTACGACATATTCAGGAAGTGGAATGAAATGTATTGATTATTGTAAACCTTCCTAACAAATAAAAAACTGAAAAATATTTCTCCCCTTGAGTTAATACTTTGTCTCGCCACCTTTTGATGCTTTTCATTTTACATCCATATATCTATCATCCATACATTCATTCATCATCCATCCATTTATCAATACAAATATGTATCCATTCATCCATCCTTCCATTAAACCATATATCCATTCACCCATTCATCAACTATCCATCATCCATTCATTATCCATCCATGCATCCATCCATCACCAGCAATCATCCATCCATCTTTAATCATCCATTCAGCCACCTACCCATCAGTCCATCCATCTATCATCCTTTGAGCCATCATCAATCCATTCATCATCCATCCATCATCAGTCCATCATCCATCCATTCATCCATCCATCATCCATCATTCCATAATCCATCCATCCATACATCTATCCATCCACCCATCCATGCATCATCCATCCATCTGTACATACATGCATATATACATCACCCATCCTCCCATCATCTTCCAATCAAGCTAATTGGCTTAAAATCCATCCATCC